TTTCGGTTCTCCATTTGTCTTTTGTTCAGTTGATGTGGCACCCATTGTCCTTCCTTTAAAATCTTTCCCATTGCTTGTAAATGATCAGAAATTGTTTGCTGAGTAACGTTTAATCTTTCTGCAAGTTGTTTTTAAGTTTGACACGCATCTTCATCCAATAATGCTTGTAATTGTTGGTCTTCAACCTTTTTCAGTTGACCTGGACATTCTTTGTCTTTCACATCGAAATCATCACTTTTAAAGGTTTTTAACCAGTGTTCACAAGTATCTTGAGATGGAGCATGTTCACCATAAGCTTCCCGAAGTATTCAGCAGCACTTTTCTTCAAAATAAAGTAATGAATTAAAACTTCCCACAAATGCTCCTTTTTTTGGGCATGAAATTCGACATTTTTAAGTGTAAAAATATCTATGATGTTAACACCTTCAGCATATTTGACATATGAAGTTTTGAAGCTTGTTGTCAATACAACAAAATAGCATACATATCAAATCACATATATATATATATATCAACATATGTGTAACTCTATCTATTGAAAAAGATCCACATTATTAACCAGTACAGCTAGTAGTTTTAATTTAACCTCAAGTTTTATATAAATGACTGTTTTAAATTACTTATAAAACTGATGACATATATTTGTTCAGTACTAAAGCAAAGAAGAATAATTGTTAATATATTCAAGTCTCCTTCTTACATTGTTAAGAACAGATCCCTGTCATCCTTTTTTCTTTTTTTTTTCTATACTGTATTTGCCTTCTATATGTTACTAAAAATAAATTTAAATATTTATTTTCTTTCACCACAGGAGTATATTTACCACATATACTAAGCTGAAATAGCAGATCAAATAGATGGTTTTTGTGCTATTAAAGATAAACAGTGCAGAAATAGCAAAAGACTTACGGGGGTATTCTTTCGATGACTGCCTGAAGAACACTTTCAACATTTGTTCCCAGTTTAGCAGAAATCTAAAAATATATGTGTAAAAACACAAACATTTAAAATTTAAACTCTACCTTTTTTCTATCCTGATGACAGAACTTTATGATCACAATAAAGAAAGAATTCTAACACTTATCAATTTGTTTGAAGATCATCGTAGAAGGAAGCACAAATATATAGTACTAGAGACCCGGTGCACAAAAATTTGTGCACTCGGTAGTGGTGGTAGCCCAGCCTGTGCCCTCTCGCAGTTCGGGACCCCTCGGGGGATAATGTCCCGCTGGCTTAGGCCTGCTCCTGGGTGGCAGAGGGCAGGCCCAATCCCTAGGTGCCTTCCCCACA